CCAAAGCTCTGCCTGAACCTAGATTTTCATCCTTAAGGGACAAGCTACAAGTTACTAGTATACACTGTGCTTGAGGGGAAGTATTAGGACTCTATGTATATGAGTCTGTTTAGAACTTCTTATCATTGTCACACTGTGACTCTCTACTTCTTATCATTGTCACACTGTGACTCTCTATTCTATATATTCACATCATCTGATCTCATTGTAATTAAGTTCAGTAAATACAATATAATCAGTTCTCATCCCGTATACAGTATTTAAAAGAAGAGATCAGGTTTGAACTTTGGGATTATACTTAAAGTGGACAGATTCTTTGTGTGTACCGACATTTGATTCTGTCTGTCGAGCCATTGAGTCACCGTAATTTACATTTTTTTAAATATTTTATCAGATCGGGATGTGGGGAGTCTTTGGAATTGGGGATTTTGGGAGAAGAGAATATTTCTAATTTTTGAGGCATTGAAAAAAGTTTGAAAATCAAAAATAAAAAGAAATCCTTATTCTGTAATCCGATTGGCCTCTTCAGACTGGAAAAAAAGAAAAAAGAAAATAATCAAAAAAAACCGTAGAGGAGTCAGGAAGGCCTCTTCTGCTCTCTCTCGCCATATTTTTTTGTTTTTTCGCCATCTTCACCACCACTGCCTTCTCCCTCACCACCACTCTTCAATCGAGCCTCTGTTTCTGTAATCCTATTGGCCTGTTCGATTTTTGTTGATCACTGATTAATTAATCAGTAGCCATGGATGCTGATTCTTGGTCGGCTCGTCTATCTTCTGCCTCCAGACGTTATCACTCCGCGTTTCAGCCTCGATCTGGTAAATTTCTGTGCCCTTGCTGACAAAATTTTCATCTGGGTATTTATTTTTTGTTTATTTATTTGTTGTTGAATGGTAAAGATTGGATTTTGGTGCGATTGTATCATTTATGTGTCGGAGTTACTGTGGTAGGGATGAAATGGGAAGGTTTTGATGCGGAAATGTTGATGGGTTTCGAGGAAATTGACATGGTTGACGATGATATCAGAGAGGAATTTCCATGCCCGTTTTGTTCCGAGTATTTTGATATTGTCGGATTATGTTTCCATATTGATGATGAGCATCCTCTCGAGGCCAAGAATGGGGTATATATTCACCTTCTGTTCAATTCATAATCATCTTTTTTGTCTGTGTGTGTGTGTGGGAAATATTATGAATTTGGAAACTTATGGTAATGTCAATATGTAAAGTTTTAGTCTTGATTACGTTGTTGAGATTTGTGGTTTGTTTCTGGAAGTTTTAGTGGTTGTTTATATTTATTCAGCTATGAATCCTTATGTAAAGTTTTTCTTTTAATACTTTAAATAGATAGATATCCTTTAGGTCCCGAGAAAAGATGTGATGAATTTCTTGCCTAAAATGGTGTAAATATGCATATTCTTCTTACTCTATTTTTAAGATGTAAACTGGAGAGTAAGAATATATGGATTTTTCCTTATCCTTCGCTCCCTCTGAATTTCTTGTAGTTATATTATCAAGCAGAGGTTTAGAGGCGAAAGGATACCTTTTTGAAGCATCATGCTTACAAATAACTTTTCTGTACAGGTGTGTCCAGTTTGTGCGATGAGAGTGGGGGTTGATATGGTTTCACACATAACATTGCAACATGGGAATATTTTCAAAATATCCTTTATTTAGTTTGCACTAAAAGTTATTCCTATTTTCTTATAGTTTTTCTTGAACTTAACTTGAAACGCCTGTAGGACATAGAGGTTATGTGCTGAAGATCTAGAACTCTTTGTACAGTAGTCACCGTGAATTGAGTTCCTTGACTTGAACTTACATGCAGCGCAAGAAGAAATCACGTAAGGGTAGTTCTCACTCAACGCTTTCATTGTTAAGGAGGGAATTGCGAGAAGGAAATTTGCAGCCTTTCCTAGGAGGGTCTTCCCGTACAGTTTCCTCGAGTAGTTCTGCACCAGACCCATTGTTGTCATCGTTTATTTTACCAATGGCTGATGATTTTGGGAGTGCTCAGGCGCACTCTATTCTTGAAACAGTCTTGGCCAAGGAGAGCACATCAAAATGTGTTTCAGAAAGGTATGCGCTTTATAAATTTAAAATTTCTTTTGCCGATTATATCTTTCAATTTCCATTATTGGAATTCTTGAATATCTGTTTTGTGGTCTTTATTCTGATATGTTTTTTGGCTGATGAACAGAAATGTGACCATATCACTTCAACTTTTCACTAGTTTGGATTGTCTTTCATTCTATTTTCAGTCTTTAACTGATTAAAAGTTAAAACACTACGAAGATTTTAGGCGTTTATCGCATTGGTGCATGTTTTTGGAAATAAATTTGACTCTGCTTAGAACTGTTCTGTAAAATGTGTTCTAATGTGATGCAATAGAAATTTCTTAGGCCAAAGAAGTTCACTTCAAATGAACATTTATCATTATTAACTGCAACTATGGGAGTTGTTGCCTTGAGACACACTACTTTTGTTGTAAGATGAAATTGAGAATGGGTTTCTATGTTTGTAAATCTTATGTCATCACATCTATCAGAAAGTTGTTTTCTACAATTGACATCTCTGGTTATTAAGCATTGGATAAAATATATATATATTCGATGATGCTTCCCTTTGCTTCTATATTAAAAGATATTGCAGCATTTTAAAATTTTGAGGAATTTTAGATATCTTGTGACTTCAATGCCATTGCACTTCCCTTTTCCTTTGTCAAATGAAAGTAGAACCTATGTCAAGGATAAATTATTACCGGGAAGTGATTTTGTGATATAGTGCTTAGTCTTATCTCTCATATATTTGATTCAACACAGATATAGGGGGTGTTTGGTAAATAGCTGTTAGCTGATTGGGTTAGTGGGTTTGACTAGTTGATAGCATTAGTTGACTTTAGGCAGATGTTTGGTAAATTAGTTGTTAGTTGATAGTTGATTACATGCAAAATGATTTTCTTAAAAAGCTTATTGAAAAAGTTGCTTTGAGCAGCTTTTTGAATTTTAGCATTATGGAACAATAAAATATTACAAAAAGCTAATTAATCAAACGCTTTATTGATTGTTTAATCAAGTGAAACAACTAATAGTGGTCAAATAAGCAAAAATTGGCTAATAAGCTAACTATGTTACCAAACAAGGCCATATTCTTTATTCTTGAGGCTTTAGGACACTCAATACCAATTAACTATGAGAATGAGATCCCTCCGTTTATCTTAATCATAACCCACCAAAACCAAGTTCATATTCACTTCTCATTGCTAGCAACGCTTTCTTCATGCTTTAAAACATATGTAAACAATAAAAGGGAATACTGCAAATAAGCTTATAAGAACCCACACCTAAGGTGAATAAACCACTCTAGCTCACGGAAATTCTTGACCGGCCCCTTGTCGAGCTTATCTTTTTTTCTTTTTTAAATAGAGGAGTCAGTTTCTATTTTATTCTGGAATGTGCAGCACAATGGTCGGTCCTCTAGGGCTTCAACCCATGGTTTACTCCCTTTATCTACTTACTATGACATAATTTGGGAATGCTACTATGCATGTTTCTAAAGGTGGCTTTAATTCAAGAGACCCCCTTCTTCTGGAACTGCATCTCATATCCTCTTTGATGTTTCTTTATCTTTGCCTTCTGGCATAACTAGTGGGTTGCCTCCTGAGCTAGGCTGGTAGGGTACTAAATTAGATTGCATCTAATTATACTTTCCTCAATTCATGCAAAGGTTAATCTAGTAGTAAATATTTCCTTGAGGGGTAACCCCAGCCAAGATGGCAAGAGATCCACACTTGTAACCACAAGGTCACGAGTTCGAATCCTTGTCCACTTGGTTTGAGCCAGTCAGCTATAGGTAACTTAGGTTGGTTTTACTTCCTTGTGGTTCTTTGCTGGCTAGGGTCGTGAGGCGTGACTTACCAACACCCAAAAGGGTTGTGGGGTTTCTCTCGTCAGCCAAAAAATTAAAAAAAAAAATTCCTTGAGCAATTGGTTGGCAGTCTTGCTCATCTCTCCCTGTTGCTTCGTAATCAATCAATAATTTAATATTTTTGTTTTACTAATTATACAGAAAAGTTGGGCAACAACCTCTCTTGTCAACCAAGGACAAAGAGGAGAAGGCGAAGCGGAGCGAGTTTGTTCAAGGGCTATTGTTGTCCACCATTGTTGATGACAGCAGCTAGCTAGCTAGCTTATCAAGTGTGGAAGGAGTGGATGCTGAAGATGATGCATGTGGAGGAGGATTCATTCCCAAGTTTACACATCATACTGCCCAGATGGCTTCTCTCTTTGTGTTAAGTTAAGGAAGGGGATTTATGCCAAAATCAATATAATATGGGGAAGGAATCATTCAATCCACAACAGAATAAGAAGAGTTGGTGATAATTGTAAGTTATGCACCTGTAGAAGAATTTAGCTGTTCTGTTAGGTGGCCTGCCCAACTGATATATACCTACTTTTCATATCAGTTCCATGCTTTATGCTCTCTCTCTAGCACTTTCCTTTCTTTTCATGGCTCATGATTGCTGCTGATTGAATGAAGAATACACAGATGGAGGGGAATAATACTTCTACTATTTTTATACAAACCTGACTTGGAAAGATGGGTGTATAGCTGTCGAAACGGGCTGACGGGGTGAGACCCACCCACGCCTGTCAAAATACGGGCCATAAAATTCAAAAAGTTTGTCCCGCCTTTTTGGTGGGGCGAGACAGGCTAGCTTGGTAAGCTAAACCCATTTTGACTGCTCTAGGTGGGGGGTGGTGTGTACAACAAGTGACAATCTTTTTATTATTTGGCATGGTTTTATAATATAACAAACCCCACTGGTAAGTAAATGAATAAATTGTAAAGAGGCTGCTGGCTTGTCTGTCTATATTAACAAACTATCTATCAATCAAACTGTAAAATCATTAATTAAATTACACAGAGGCTTCTCATGTCCATCCTCATCCAATATCCATCCATGAATGAAAGTTGAAGGCAATGCAATAAACAACAGGAGAACATAATTGACAATCAATCAATTATGGCGGGCATTGTAGGGGGAAAAAATATGGAAAGAAAATACTACACTAAGAAAATGGTTGTTTGCAACAGAGTCAAATGTGAGCAATGCCATTCTCAGATCGGATTGATTGCTTGCTATTCATTCCATCAATAACGACACAACACTCTTCCCCTGATCGCTATTCCATCAACAAGGACACAATGTTGTTCACTGTACCCCGTTAAAAAAATAATTTGAAATAAGGCATGCAATGACCTCATGTATGATATAAGATACTTCACTGTCCTGTCCACAAATTTCCGAGATTCTGAGGATATCTGCAATTCACTTGGCTTTAGCTAAAATGGTGATTGTAACCTCCATGCCATGTCCTTGAAGGTACTGTAGCCTATAAAGAAGCAGGGTATGATTAGTATTTATGCAACCAAATCTTGATGCACTTTGGCACCGCTACCAAGTCGAGTAAATGTAAAATAATAATAATAATAATAATAATAATAGCTAAATAAATAAATGTTTCACAAACAATAGGAATTTAGTTATACAGAATAATTTTGAGAGACTAATTAGAACACTTAGCTTAAGGCCCCTTAAAATGCACTCATATATCAGCATATTATCTTCTTATGACAATCCTTGTTCTATAAAAAATACACCAGTTCATCTTCAACATGGGCATTATATTGTGATAGGTCTTTTTTCCACTTTGGGGTAAGCATTATAATATGATTTTTCTTATTACATAATAAAATAAAATGGTTGCCAATTTTTCACATTTTGTTACTACTTGTTCTCCTTTTTGTGACATGTAGTTTGCATTTTTAACATGACATCTATTTCTATGAATTATTTATTGCAAGCTGTAGAAGGAAACTTTAAACCAAATACACCTAATTCCTAAACCCTAATCCCTGGACAAGCTTTTTTAATCACTTTAAACAAATGACTTAATCTGCTGATGCTTTTCTATGTTAAAGGAGCTCACCTCTCTAAACTGATAAGGAGATGTGCTAGCATCAGGCACAATGTTAGGTCTGCTACTGCAGGGATGGAGTTGCTGATGAACCAGACCTGAGCCGATATCTGAGTTAACCGCTCCAAATTCACCTTGGAATAATCCACTAAATGAGCTCTGAACTGATGTAGAGGGTTGGTTTTGAATTGATTGCTCATTCAAATGGCTGGATGTTGTAGCAAAAGCATTCATATTCTCCTGTAACCTTCTTCCATGAAGAAAAGTACGGGGTGCCCTCTCTAATGCTGCTACTACAGGTTGAGGTGCTAACTCCCTAATTTGACCAATTTGAGAGCCAAAAAGATAATTCCCTGTCACACTAGTCATTGCCCCAGTAGTTCTATTATCTATCTGTCTCATTCTACCATTATTAATAAGAATTTGGTGTATTTGACGCTGTATCCTTCTCCTGTCAGAAACAGTGGATGCCACAGAACCAGAAGCCGATAAAGCAGCCTGACCAATTCTGGGCGACGGAACATGGCAAGCTTCTTGTGTTAATGGTGCCTCCGGTACATACATCTCATTTAAATCAAAAGTCTCCCTCACATTGGTCACAGGGGATGATCCAACAGAGAAGTTGTTGCTTGTTCTATTCTCAGGTGTAAGATTCAAGTTTTGTTGGGTCTCAAGAGCAGTAGGCCTACAGCCTTCACAGTACCAATTACCTTCTGGTACTTCATGCCCAAGACCAACACAATAAGTATGAGCAGGCGAATCACAGAGATCACACAGTAGCATAAGAGCATCATCTCCACCTTGTTGACATTCAGTACAAATTACATTTTCATATGGATCAAGATACCCTCTAAGCTCCTCTTCAGATGGTTGATAGACCTACACATAACCACATGACAAAAAACATAAGGAAATGAAACAAGAAACCTCAACAATTTTATTTTTTTTAAAACACTGAATAGACTACCTGATCGCGTTCAGGGACTTGAATAACCACAGTCCTCAAATCAAAGCCAGCGTTTGATTTTGCAGGCTTACTGATTGTAACAAATCTTTGCTTGCAGAGGGGGCAACGGGATTCAACTTTCGACCACTCCATGATGCAAGCAAAGCAGAAGTAGTGGCTGCAACAATTCAATGTTCCTCGGACTCTCCTTTTACCTTCTTCAGACAAACAAATTCCACAAACCTGCTTTCCTGCTTCAGTCTTCCATTCTTCTACCTTCTCCTTATCTTTTCTTTTTGAACGCTTCTTTTGTAACCGTGGAGTTTCTTTTTCCATTAAATTCTTTGAGATCGCTGGACACCTCCAGCTACCAGTCAAGCCTCCACAAAATTCAGTGGCTTCTCTGACTTGTTCTCTCTCTTCTTCAGAAATAGTGTATTCATAGTCCAATGGCCCAGAACTCACAGAATCTGAATCAGAATGTACAATAAGCCTTTTGTTTCTTCTCCCTTCTACAATGATCTTATTCTTTGCTTCCAGTGAGCTCATGTCATTTATCTTCCCCTTTTCATCGACTCTCTCTTTCTTCTTTACTCCACATTTATTTCTAGATTTCCCCCTTTTGATCTTCTTTGAGACTTTAGAGGTTGTCTTACTCTGTTCACCTTTAGCAATGCCCTTGTGCAACTTCCTACCTCCTTTCATCTTGGGCAACTCATCTTCTTCATCCTCCAAGTCATCAACCTCATCTGGTGTAAATTCATAATCATCATCATTATCATCATCATCATATTCTTCCCCTTTTGCAATGCCCTTTCTCAACCGTGACTTGCCCAACTTCCCATACCCCATTTCCATAGGCAACTCATCTTCTTCATCTACACCATCAACCTCATCTACCTCATCTGATGCGAATCCAACATCATCATCTTCTTCCCCTTTGGAAATGCCATTGTGCAACTGTGTCTTTCCCAGCTTCTTGTTCCTTTTTGTCATGGGAAACTCATCTTCTTCATCATCTGCACAATCAACTTCATCTGGTGTGAATTCTTCATCATCGTCGTCGTCATCATCTTCCCCTTTGGCAATGCCCTTGTGCAACTGTGACTTTCCCACCCTCTTATTCCTCTTTGTCTTGGGAAACTCATCTTCATCTTCATCTGCACCATCAACTTCATCTAGTGTGAATTCATCATCATCATCTTCTTCTTCTTCCCCTTTGGCAGTGCCCTTGTGCAACCGTGACTTTCCCACCTTCTTGTTCCTCTTTGTCATGGGCAACTCATCTTCATCTGCACCATCAACTTCATCTAGTGTGAATTCAACATCATCTTCTTCTTCTTCTTCCCCTTTGGCAATGCCCTTGTGCAACCGTGACTTACCCACCTTCTTGTTCCTCTTTGTCATGGGCAACTCATCTTCATCTGCACCATCAACTTCATCTAGTGTGAATTCAACATCATCTTCTTCTTCTTCTTCCCCTTTGGCAATGCCCTTGTGCAACCGTGACTTCCCCACCTTCTTGTTCCTCTTTGTCATGGGCAACTCATCTTCATCTGCACCATCAACTTCATCTAGTGTGAATTCAACATCATCATCTTCTTCTTCCCCTTTGGCAATGCCCTTGTGCAACCGTGACTTCCCCACCTTCTTGTTCCTCTTTGTCATGGGCAACTCATCTTCATCTTCATCTGCACCATAAACTTCATCTAGTGTGAATTCAACATCATCATCATCTTCTTCTTCTTCTTCCCCTTTGGCAATGCTCTTGCGCAACTGTGGCTTGCCCCACTTCTTATTCCCTTTCGCCATGGGTAGCTCATCTTCTTCATCATCTTCTTCCCCTTTGGAAATGTCCTTATGCAACCGTGCCCTGCCCAACTTCTTGTTTCCTTTTGTTACGGGCAACTCAACGTCATCATCATCTACACCATAAACTTCATCTGGTTTGAAGTCCTCATCATTATCATCATCGTCATAATCTTCATCATCATCTTCCCTGTACGAAACTCTTTTCCTTTTTCTTGGTTTTACAGCTCTGTTTTTCTTTCTCTGTGGTTCTCTTTGTCTAGCAACCTTCTTAACCTTCTTCCTCTCCAGCTCTTCCTCATCATCCTCTTCCTCATATTCACATTCACCTAGAATCTCCTCAGATTCATCCCCAGCAAAGGAAGAGTATTCATCCTCTGACTCATCACATTCATTTTCATCAACCATGTAATCTTCATCAGATTCATCAGAACCCTTGCACTCAGATCGGACCTTCCTCCTACCGTAAGGCTTGCGCCCAAAATTGCTTTCTCTTGCCATCTGCACATACACCCACTAAAGCAGAAACCAGGGCTCGACTGGGATCAAACCATAACATAACCCATTTATCTTGACTCACTGAACGGCATAAAATCAATCAACCTGGACAACAAGAAGCATTTTTCTTCTCACAGATGTTCCCTAATGCATATCCAAGATTCATGAAAGTTAATATATTTCAAGTTTAAGGATTTCTCATGAACACATATATTAAAATTCTGAAGTTGCCTATCTGTAGTCACTTGTCAAAGCATTTGTAAAAATGTCCTTAATAATTCAAAAGTATGCAGGTTTGAAAAACCTTATATTATACCAAACTCATTAATAAATCAACGTTTGATATGATATAGAACTAAAGAACTTCACTTGAATGAGTTAGCTAGTGGAAGTCACAATTTATCCAAGTTATATAATAACTATAAAGGTAAAACAAAACCCCATACAAAAATATTTATTAAGGTATGCCATTTGACATAAATCTATTCCTCAAGAGTTTCAGTTTAGTAGTAACAAATTAATCATTTTGCTAGGAAAACAACATGAGTGGATACTTAGAGTGTTATTAAATGTCAGAGCAAAAACTTCTTTTAATAAGTATTAAAATTCAAACAAAGCCCTAGATCACAAAAGTATAAAACTAACTTGAGCCGATGTTCAACCTTCAATTTATCCAAGATTCATAAATTTTAATATTTTTCAAGTTTAAGCATAATAAAAGAAGCCATATATTTTAGAATTCCAAAACTGTCCATTTCTAATCACTTATCCAAATAAAGTTTATTTAAAAAAATTGCAATTTCTAATCAAATTCAAAATTATGTAGGCTGAGGAGCTATGTTTGAAATAAATAGCTCATAAAATTAGGATCAATGTTGAGCATATCTTAAAATTTTCACTTCAAAGAACTACTTGCCTGGTGGAAACCACAATTAATACAAGTCCTTAAAGAAATTAAACCTTTATGGGTAAAACAAAACCCTAGATCACAATTTTACTACCATCTGGCGTTCAGTTCCAATCCAATCCTCCACACTATCAGTTCAAGGGAAACGAATCAAATATCAGAACAAAAACCTTTTACAATTCAAACAAAACCCTAGATCGAGATACTTCAGCAGATGCTCAACTTCAATTGTCCCCCTAAACTCCCCATCGTACAAAATCAATAATTTCAACACAACTCCAACTAAAATTATAAAAAAAGAAAAAACTAACAGCATAATTTCATATCTTAATTTCACAATTTAAACACATATTTCATAATCCTACAAATATAACAGTAATTCAACATGTGCAAATTAGTATACAGGAAAAAAAAAAATCTAAAAGATTAATCTTCCGGAAAGAGAAAGGTACCTGAGAAACAAAAACCCCCCAAGCAAGGAGATTAACAGCTCAGCTATAGATATACATATACGTCTGCATATGCATCCATATGTGTATATGGTGATGCGGTGAAATCCGAAAGAGAAGGCCTTGGAATCTTTTTGTATGTATATGCTCGGTTGTATATATACATATATATATAAATAAATATATATATAATATATATATATATATATCAATATGTTGAATATTGATTGAAATGATAAATATATTTATATTTTATATATATATAAACGTTGTATGTATAGGTGTGTGTATAGACGCGTTTAGGAAGCATCTTAAATGTGAAGGGGGGGCGTTGAGTTTTATAGAGAACGCAACTTGGTGGGCTGCGCTCACTGTGAAATTCCGAAATTGCCCTTCTGTCCTGTCCAAAAGGGCAGCTAAACTGCAACTTCTGACTTTTCGTTCCGGGTATGGGCCGGCTCGAATACTGCAAATTGGGCCCGGGCCGGTAATTGGTCGCCTGCGTCTCATCATCCTCCAATTATTATCATAAAATTATTTTAATAGCTTATAATCTTGCTTGTATATTTCTTAACAAAATATATAAATATTATTAAGGGAAAATGACACTTTTTACCCCTGACTTATATACTTATAGCACTTTTTCCCCCTCAATTATTTAGGTAAGCACATTAGCCCCCTCAATTATTCTAAAAGTGGTGCCTTTTCCCCCTAATATATTAAATTGACATTTATACCCTTAAAGTAAACATTTTATTTATTTTATTACTCCAACAAATTATTGCGTATACGTAGGGATGACCACGGTTTGGTTTGAATTGAACCGAATACTAAAGCAATCGAATTAATAGTTTACGGTTATAATTCAGATCTAGAACCCAATATTTAAATGTCAATTTATTAAAATTATGTATCAAAAAAATTGAATCTTGAACCGTGAACCGGCGATTCCGGATCTGATTCGCGATTTTGAACTGTCTTTATTTTAAAATTTTATTTTTTATTTTAAAATAGTCTAAATTCAACAATAAATGTATTTTATTTTTTCAGTTCGGAACATGAACCGTCTGTTCCGGTTCACGATTTTAATAAACTCTAAATTTCGAATTTTGATTCTAAATTGTAATTGGAATATTTCGGTTTGGTTGCTATAGTGTTTGTTTAGTTTGAACCAAATTATGGTCATAATTTGTTGGAAAAAAAATAAATTAAATATTTAGTTTAAGGGTAAATATGTCCATTTAACATTTCAGGGGGGAAAACAGCCACTTCAATAATTTAGGGGGAGAAAATGCTATAGGTATATAACTCAGGGGGAAAAAGTGTCATTTTCCCTATTATTAAATATTTCCTAAGAATGATTGGAAAATATTTTACTTTTAAAAGATTTATATTTTAGAAGTGTTTCTAAAATTGTTGGGGTTATTCTAAAATACATTTATAAGTTATATATTTTGTTTTAAAACTACAATAATTTTATTTTGAGTTTTTGTATTTTAGGATTTTTTTTTCCTAATTAATGTTTATATTATTAAGTAAAATAATAAAAATATTACTAAGAGTGATTTTGGTTCATGGGTAATGGGTTTACACATTAGGAATATAATTTTGTACCCAAATTAATCCTCTGTTAGGAAAACTGTTAAAAGACAATTAGTGCTTGATCATAGTGTGATTCTATTACTATAGTTTAAAAATTAATAAGGGAAAAATGTTGACATAAAAAAAAAATTCTCAAAAGAGTTACTTCCTAAATTAGTCCCTCGACTATTGAAGTAATATGTAAAATGGTGCCTTAACTATTGAAATTTCAATTTCGCCCTTGAATTTAATAGTCACTTAACAATTTTCGTAACGAGAGATCAAATTAGGTACGAAATTTATAGTCAAAGGACCAAAGTGGGTAACTTTTAAAGTCAGAGATAAAATTAAGTAAATGTGTATAGTCGAGGGACCAAATCAGATATTAACCCAAAAAAAATTGTACAACACATGATGCTTTAAGGAAAATGTTGAAAGGAGAGATTTGTGAAGTTTTTATGAAAGGAAGTGGAGATAAAATAATAAATAAGGAAAATATTTTTACTTTTTAATCTGTTTTCTCATAAATTCCCTTATCCTAACTTATAATTATTGGGGTCTATAAATTTATTGACTCTATTATTATCCAATGAAATAGTAACATATGGAAAATAAAATTTAGGAAGGAAACATTTTGGAGAGGTGAACAATATTACTCAATAAATAATAGAAGTGGGCAACAACTAACTAATATTCCGTACACTGGAGCCACGCAGCCTTGAGCGGTTGAGCCTTGTATGTATCAATTGGCATAATTAAAATTTAATATTCTCTCCCCGGCATTTTGTTTGTTGGATTCGATTAATGAAGCTTGATTAAAGTTATTTTTAATTTATTTTTTATATTACTAAATTTAATATTAATATATAAAATTTATATATTTAAAAACTACATTAAAATAATATTAAACACAAAAATTAAATTTAATAATAATTAAAAATTATTAAATAAAATAAACAAATAATAAAGAGTTGGTTTGACCAATAAATAATAAACATGATAGACAAAGTGGGACAGACGGAGTATTTAATTGATATTTGATATTTGAAAATTTGTGACGTGTAGTGTTTTATGGATTAGATTTTATACCAAAATTGGTACTTAACTAAAATTAAAATAGTAAAATGTTAAAGTCAAATACTAAATTTAGTCAATTTAGAAGTCAGCTGGAATTAAAGGTTTAACCAAAAAAAAAAAAAAACATAATAACAAAAAAAAAAAAAGACTAAAAGTCAAATTAACATGAGATTGAACCAAAAGTATAACTTTTATTTATAAATCAACTGTAATACTATCTGATTATCTGGACCAAATTAATGTTAATATTAATTATTAATTTATTATTATGATTATAACTCTAATACTATCTGGAACAAATTAATGTTAATATTATTATTATTATTATTATTATTATTATTATTATGAAGTAGCTTAATGAATTACTTATACAAAATAGTATTGATGGATACATGATATATCAAGTCGGCTCAAGAAGAAATGCCAAGATAGAAAGGACCCAAAGAGTAAGGTTCGGGTGCGCTAGCTAGCTAACCGACCTTAGGCTCAGGTGGAGCACGAAGGACCCATGAGGTCGGCCTCCAAGCATAGGGCGGATGGTCAATTGGGCAAAGACCACTCTCAAGGGACACCCACCCTATTTTTAGAGGGTTGGTTAAAAGAATTAGTTTATATAAGGGTGTTGCTATTTGCACCACTTAAATGAGGTATAAAGTACATTAAAAGTATAAAAAGGTGGTAATTTATAATAAATACATAGGTGATGCAAATAGCCTAATGGGTAGTCAAAATATTATTTGCACCACCTTAGTAAAACTGTATTTATTAGATTTAAGTAATAATTAATTAATTCAAAATTTAATTCATTAATTTTTTTTTAAAAAAAAAAAAAAACAATGAAACGCCGCCCCTTCTCCGGTGAGAAGGCAGATTGCCTTCTCACCGGAGAAGGTGACAGATCTCCTTCTTCTTTTTTTTTTTTTTTTTCTTTTTTTTTTTTTTTTTTTTTTAATATGTTGATTTAAAAAAAAATAATAATAAATATTACTTTTTGACCACATTTATTAATGGTGGTGCAAATAGCAAAATAGGTGGTGTGAATAGGATTTTTCTTTGCTATTTGCACCACCTATAAAGTTATTTGGCCTATTATATAGGTGGTGCAAATAGCAAAATAGGTGGTGTAAACAGAATTTCCGTTTATATAATTAGTCTTTTTTTTTTTTTTTTTTTTTTTTATAACAACACGTATCGTGTTCACTTATTACTAACTCTTGTAATACACAGACAATTATTTAAGAAATTTTAAAAAAATCTTTATCCTAAATTCTTCATTAACTATATTGCCTTGTTCTTATTTATTATCTACAATTATTGAGTTGATTTAGACTCTGATCAATTAATTCTATCAATTATTATACATAATAACTTACATAGCAACGTATATTATGACGATTTTATTGATAAAAAGCGATGATTTTGTTGTTTTGTAACCGCTTTACTTTTCCTTCTTTTTTTTATTTCTTCATCGTAATACGAGTATAATATTGATTTCCGTTTTTATAATTACTAATATTCCTATAATAATACTCCGTAATATATTAATCGTTATGTATATTAATTTTATTTTCTTCTCTCAGTTTCCAACTACTTATCCTTTTGACCACTATTTTTTTTCCGGAATAACTAGTTATGAACATGCAGAATGTGATAAAAATGCTAAATAAACAAAAAAATAATCGTAAAATTATATAATTAAAATAAATGTAAAATTACATCACCCAAAAGGGTACAAATAGCAGCCGTAATAATGAAATCGAAATAATAATGCTATTGCAATCTATGAGCTAAAGGTTAGAACCTCAAGCCATTGAACCGGGGGAGGGGGGGGATTTAGTGAACCAAGGGATGATCCTTCAAGGAGAGGGAAGGGTGCCTTATATAGTATACATGGCCTTCCGGATTATTGACAAGTGTACAACATCGGCTAGTCTTCCCTATCAATCCTCCATGTCTCCATGTATGCTTCGTGTCTTCACCCATGTCTCAAACTTCTCATCCACCTTCTTTACCACTCCTCTCTACCCCTTACTACCACCCCTCGTCGATGCTGCAGCGTCGGGGGATGCTGGGCCCCGCTAGCCACGCCACGCCACGGGGAGTCCGATGGGCTAACCTTGCTGGCCATGTGACATCCAGTAGGGGTCGATCACCACCCCCTCCATGTACGTACATACCTTCTATACTACACCCCTCCTCAAGAGATGGTGTGGCCTGGTGGGTTGAGACGCGTGTGTCGTGTTGGAGGTCCTAGGTTCAATCACTGTTGGCAGCCGTTGGTCGGTTGTTGTCGATTTTGCGCTGACAACTTATTCTCTCTCCTCCTTTGTGCCTTTTTGGGCCACCAAGCATGCTTGTCTTCCTAGCCTAACAAGACATAGGTCAACCTCCTTCCTTCACCACCCTTACTTGGGCCCGTCGATTCTGCCTTGACAACTTATTCTCTCTCCTCCTTTGTGTCTTTTTGGGTCACCATGCATGCTTGTCTTTTTAGCCCAAC